CCTCACTTCCTCTTGCCTGCATCTCCCATGCCATCGCTAGGCTGTATGAGAGGCTAGGGTATCACTAATTTACTTCTGCTCCTAATGTACACTGGACATAATATTCCGTGAAAAAAACTGTGCCCCACTCTTGAGTGGGTCAACACAGGACCCCAAATCTCACCTCTCCCACCCATTGTATGCAATGTTGCTGTCATCTAGGCTGGTACCTTGCCCCCCATCTGGAGAGCACAGCGTTTGAACTGGATTTATTTACATGCAGATGCTGAACCATCCCTGTACTGAGCAGCTAGAGGCCTGGGTTCCCACATGGAGCCACCACTGAGGTGTGACCTTCAAACTCAGTGCTCTGTGAACTGCCTACTGCTGAGATGGAATTGAGGGGTCAGCTCCCATGAACAATGCCAGAAACAAATTCTCTTGCGGTCTGCCATCTCACTTTTACCAGGTGTCTCCAGACCTAAAGAGAAGCAGAAAGGAACTTCAATTATGTTAATATCATGGTCAACCATGCCAGAAATTATGGCAAGGTGGTAAGATAACTATTTGAGATTTTAAATATGTACATGTTATTATTTTATTAGGTAAGATAGCAGAAATGAGGAAAAATGTTGGCATCTTTTCAAAATGCATGCTGAAGTAAATATTTGGGTGAAAAATAGCATGACATCTGACTTTGAAATACTTCAGCAAAAATAAGAGCTTTTTTAATGGCAAAATGTCAGCAGTTGTTAAATCAAGATTTATAGGAGATAAGACTAGTTGCTCTAGTTTTCTTCATAATCAGAAAAAAACTCACAAAGAAAATTTTATAATCAGTTCTTAATTGTTTAAGGAACAGAGCTTTTCTGGGGGGCAAGGTGGATAATGTTTTTTTTTCTTCTTGTAAGCACAAAATTATACTGTTTATTGTACAATATTTTACTGAAAATCCACAGAGAAGAGTATGAAAATCACCATGTGTCAACACAGAGACAACTCAGCGGCCACTGTTAATATTCACTTGCATTTTCTTCCTTCTCTGCATATCACAAACCATTAAGAGTCACCTCTACGAGCATGAGCCTGAATGAACTTGCCAGTATTTAACTATGCATATCATTCAAATTAATACATTCAAGAGCACCTTATACCACTACAGACACTTTTTTTTTAACTTAACACAGTTTTTTATGGCTGAATCATATTTATCAGTTGAATATACTTCAGTTGTTTCACAAACACTTTACTAATTTTGGAAATTACTGGGCACTTATTTCACTCTTTAGTTTTCTGCAACTATAAATAACAATGTGATGCGCATTTTGGTGCTGGAATCTGTTTCTGAATTTCAGAGCATTTTTTTAAGTGAATTCCTCTGTACAAGAAGTTGTGAATATGTTTAATAAGACTCTTGACCTGGGTTGCTGAATTATTTTGGAAAGGTTCTGTTCTCCCCCTCACCCCGGGGTAATGAGATTGATCTTCAGTGCACTCACCCCGGCTTCAGAGATCCTTTCATGAATACAATCACTACTGCAGTTCAGGAAACATGCAGGCCAAGCTGCATTACATTACTCCTCTTTATTTGGGGAACATTTTCAATATTTTATTATCTCTTGAATGTCTCCTTTCTGTGTTATTTTCCCATGTATCTCTGAGCACTACAGATTTTTTGTTATCTTCCAGTGTTAGCATCTTTTTATTCTTTTTTCCTGATTTTAACTGCAGTATATGCTTATTGTAAAAAATTATAGAAATAAAATATAAGTCACTCTATAACCTCATCACTCAGAGATAACTGCTCCAGTTATTCTGGGAAGTTTTCTTGAGATTTTGCTTTGGTGAGATAAAGATGCACAAGCACAGGTGTGCACACACACAGGCTTACAAGTGCACGCCTATCTGCATGCACACCCATACACATGCATACAGACGTACCATACACACACAGGCAGAAGCATGTACATATACGCCTGAAAGTGCATTATATATATGCTTCCTCTTTACTATTTTCCATTCTGAGCATTTTAGTGTCATTACTGAGAGTAGTAAAGGTGTGGAAAAGTGAAAGTGTTAGTCACTCAGTTGTGTCTGAATCTCTGCAACCCTATGCATGGACTGAAGCCTGCCAGGCTCCTCTGTCCATGGGATTCTCCAGGCAAGAATACTGGAGCGGGTAACTATTCCCTTCTCCAGGGAATCTTCTCAACCCAGACATAGAACCCAGTCTCCTGCATTGCAGGCAGATTCTTTACTCTATGAGCCACCAGGGAAACCCATAAAGGTGCAGAAATAATCTAAATATCCAATGCTAAAGAAATGCTGATAGATATTTCTACATGTATAAAATGGTATGTTGGAGTGATCGGGTGGAGAGGGAGGTGGGAGGGGGGATCGGGATGGGGAATACATGTATATCCATGGCTGATTCATGTCAATGTGTGACGGGAGCCACTGCCATGGTGTGAAGTGATTGGCCTCCAACTAAAAAAAAAAAACAGAAGCAATCCTGTAACAAATTCAGTAAAGACTTTAAAAAAAAATAATGCTGTGATTAACATCCTTTTCTATAAAGACTTGATAGAGATGAAGAGTTTTAATATTTCATCCCCATTTTTCTGTAGTAATCATTTTTCTCAGAATTTTTATTTGGCTTTTAGCCTTTCATTCTGTTTTGAAAATTCAAACCAATCATAGGACTTTTGTGATGACCCTTCTGATCCAGACATTTTGACACTTTCTCTGATGTTAGTTTAACTCAGGCTTTTTTCTCATCTAAGTCTTTACTAGATCAAGGAGGATGAGGATTGAAGAGTATAATGGTGTTGTACTCTGGCATACAAACCACTGATGAGTTCAATTTTTCAACCTGGGATACTAAGTGAAAACGAATCCTCCACCCTCCAAACTCTACCAACTAGGTAATTGTTGCTGTTAGTTTTCAGGCTGTTACAAGTTTATTTTTAGTTTGGGTTTGTTTCAGTTTCATCATTTGTTAATGGGTAGCTGGGGTGGGAGCGGGCTTTTCAGGTGTCTCAGTGGTAAAGAATCTACCTGCAATGCAGTAGATGTGGAGGCACAGGTTCGATCCCTGGGTCAGGAAGATCCCCTGGAGGAGGAAATGGCAACCGGCTCCAGTATTCTTACCTGGAAAATTTCATGGACAGAGGAGCCTGGCGGGCTACAGCGCCTGGGGTGGAAAAGCGTTGGACACGGCTGAGCATGCATGCACACAGCTGGAGGCTGCATTAGAGGCAGTCTCCGTCCTGACGCTGTGTCAGATGGGCTAGCTGAGCTGGACGGCCCTGTCCTCAGGCAGGTTGCCATCTGTCTTCTGGGGAAGCATCTTGCACCTGTCATGAGGGCAAGACTGGTTTGGGAAGAGGCAAGCCACACAACTGGCCTTAAATCACTGGGATCTGACTCTACCGAGACTGACCCACCAGGGCCAACCAAACCCTTCAGCAGCACCTGGGAAAGCAACGAGGTGCTCTCAGCGCACAGACGGCGCCTCCCTCGTGAACCGCCCATCATAGCATCAGTGCAGGAGCAGGTCCACTGGGTGACAAAGGAACCAAGAATATCCAGTGGGGGTAGGACAGTGACTTCAATGAGTGGTGTTGGGAAGACTGGACAGCCCCATGCAAAAGAGTGAAACTGGACCACTGTCTTGCCTGCTCAATCACTTTTGAGCAATACAGTATAAGTGTTGATACTATGGTACCCACCTGTCCGCCTGCAGCCTGTGGTAAACACTGGGGCAGTTTATATATTCTGCATATACAGGAGGTAAGGAGTTGGAGAGTCTTATAGTGGACTGTATTTTCTATAGCAAGGCCTTCTTTGATGGCCCAGTGGGTAAAGAACCTGCCTGTAATGCAGGATGGATGGGTTTGATCCCTGGGTTAGGAAGATCCCTTGGAGGAGGAAATGGTAACCCGTTCCAGTATTCTTGCTGGGAGAATCCCATGGACACGTGGACCTGGCGGGCTACCGTCCATAGGGTTGCAGAGAGTCGGACGCGACTGAAGTGACTCAGCTCCCTTGCTGGCTTCTACAGCAGACACTCCTTTGCAGGATTAACTAATATTCACACGTCCTCTGAAAAGCAGGTTCAAAGTGGCCTGTAGCCTGAAGCCAGTGGGCTGTTCTCTGATAAGCTCAGGTACATTCATCACTATAATTATGTAATTTAAATAAATGCTACATGAAATCTATGAAATATGAATGCCTAAGAAAAGAGCTATAGTTTCGATGAAAACTAAGATGAATATTCTGGAAAGACTGAGTCTCTTTTTAAAACGTTTTTGAAAAAGTGTGACTGAGAGAAGGATGACTGATTGGGGGATGGAAACGCAATTGTACAAATCTAGGATTTTACCCTCACAGTGCTTTCTGAGTATTCTAAAGTTTTTGCTCCTAGAGGAATCGTATCTGGAAATTTTACATGAAGCAATAAAGATGTGGCTTTGCAAGAAAAATGATGCAGAGCCCCAATCAGGAGACCTCACTCAAAGGACAGAACTTGGCTCTCAAACCAAGAGTGGCCAAGAAATCATATTTCTATATCTTCTAAGTTAAAGTAAAATATTCTGTATTTGTGATTCCTTAACAAACTTTGTTTCACCATCAGCTACTCCCCTGAGTGCATCAGATAAGAGGACTTACTTCTCCACATTACAGATAAAGTAAGGAACAGCTCTGTCGATGACTGCATCCTTTGACAAGACCTGTTGTTTTTCAAATCCCAGGATATCACAGCAGGTGGGCTCTGCCCTGATCCAGGAGAGGTGCTGCCTTCAGAAAAAAAAAGGCAGGTGCTCCAGAACATGCCACTGGTTGGAGGCTGTTTGACCTTTGGTCTTCAAAATTCCTCTCAAGAAATTGAGGATGACTTCTCACCTTCACAAGTTCTAAGGAGCTGTGATTTAAGAATGCTGACCTCCAGGGGGGAATTAGAATGGAATGTTGTCAAATTCTAGTGCCCTAAGTGGGGGGTGGATGTACCCCCTGGAAAAGGTACTGCAAAAAAGTGCATGCTTATCCTGCCTTATCACAACTAATCAGAAGAATTTTCTCTTCTGCTCCAGGAGAGAAGCCAAATAAACTGGTCACATTTGCTCACCCTTGCTCATGACCTGGGAGGGCCACTGTTCCAGGTATCGTCTCACCAGGGGACCCTCCAAAGAGGGTCAGTCTGAGCCCTGTTAATCATTGCTAAGAAAGCCTGTGAAATGTCTGTGCTTCTGGGCATTGCTAGGAGTAAAAGTGCAGCGGAGTTCAGAGCTTCTGTATGTGTGGATTTGACAGTGTTAGTACCTGCAAACCACATACATTCATACATATAATACTCCTGTCCTAAAACCTCAGACAACACGCATTTTCTGACACACCACCACCTTTCCTGTGTCGACTGAAACCATACAGTCACAACCTGAAAATAGAGAGTGATTTTATTTGGTGGGAAAGTTTAGGACTCTGAGCCCGGGCAACAGCGTCTTAGTAGCTCTGAGAAAACTGCTCAGGAAGGGAAGTCAGGCTATATGCAATTTTGCAACAAAGGGAGCAGACAGTCTGAACATCAAAGATCAGGTATCAAGTTAAGGAATTTAACATGCTATGTTTGGGAAGGGGCAGGCCTCTGAACTTGCTGAATTCATTCCTTTTATAAGCACCTCAGCTATGTGGGGCCAATCCTGTGTCCTTGTTCACCTGGCTTCTTGCATTCCCCCAGCTCCTCAGCAATCACCGCAGGAGTTGGCAGCATCCACTGGATTGCAGTTTCGGGAGCCCTCATTCAGATTTGGAGGTCAGAAATCATTGATGGCTATGGCATTTCTTGTTTATTGATATGGCAGGAGCTGTTTTCATTTCACATCTCCTCCTTGCCCGAGTGTCTGCTGTCATTTCTTTTCAGAATGAACCCTCCCGATACACAAGTACCCCAGCACTGAGACCATCCGTCTTCTCCAGAGTTCAAGTGTCGTTCAAGAATTCACTGATAGAAGGGGAGGGATCTCTTGATAACCCTAATGAGTTTCTCAGTTGCCAACCGAGATCTGAAAAACCTTAAACAATTACAGAGAAATCTGGATTCTTCAAACAAATGTGAGTGGCAAAACTTTGCCCACGAAAAGTTTTAAGATGTATATGAAACTAAAATGTGCATTTCACCCAATACATTTCCTGAATGTAAAAATAATGTGAAACATAAAACTCATCAATAATATATATGCACAAATTCAGTATTTATATTCTTTATGCGTTACTGATGTGGAAACACTAACAAGCCCTGGATTGTCTAAAATGCCTGCTACTGTAAATTTCTTTGGGGAGGATAATCGGGAAACTTTTCAAGTATCCATTTTTGTAATATAAATGCCTTGGGGCTGATGAATATTTCAACTTTCATCAATCACTGGGATAGCAGAATAAATTTGTCAATCAGATCTGTTGGAATGTGGGAAATCTGCAACGGAGATAAGTAAGGGTGGGGGGCGGTGTTTGCCTGCAGGAAGACCATGGAGCAGGACCCTTCAGTCTTCCTTCTTTCTTTCTGTCCTATTTCATTTCTTTTCAAAGTTTTTAACTTTATTTTTATTTTATATTGGAGTACAGTTGATTTACACCATTGTGTTAGCTTCAGGTGTCCGGCAAAGTGAGTCCCTTATACACACACATGTATCCATTCTTTTTCAGGTTCTTTCACCCATATAGGCCAATAGAGAATATCAAGCAGAGTTCCCTGTGCTATACAGTAGATTCTTGCTGATTACCTATTTTATATATAGTTGTGTGTAGGTATTAATCCTAAGCTCCTTTAAAACTTTATTATTCCTTGCTTTGTTTTTTTATTAATATTGCCCCAAAAGACAGAGGGCTTGAGTCTACCTGCTGTCCCTAGCGGAAGATAAACACCATCCTTTCTGAGCAAAAGCTGTACAATGTCCTAGGAAAATCTGGGGAAAATGAAGCATAAAGCTAAATACAAACACAGAAGAATGCAAATAAGAAGAGTGATGCTCAAATAGGGCACCAGTTCCTCATGTGAACAACTTCAGAAGGAAAGTGAGAACCAGCCCTTCACTGCCCCCAGCTAACACCCCTGCTCCTTCTTCCCTCTGCTGGAGTCTTCGAAGATGGAGCTTTACCCTGCAAGACTGGCTGTCCTCCCGTGGGTCTCATCTACCCCTCAGAGAAGCCAGGCAGGGCCTTGGGAGACTTCCAGGACTGGGGGGAATGTTGCATTGTGTAAAGAGCACCTCTTCCCTCCTCCTCTCCCCCCTCCACCTTCACTCCTCTCCCCTCTCCCCTCCAGGGCATTGCATGATAATAAGGATTGGAAATGGACCACAGGTCCCCTAGGATACTGTTCATTTCTAGTTCAGCAGGCTGGTTTCATGGTCCGTGGGTCAAAAAGATTCCTTGGAGAAGAAAATGGCAACCCACTCCAGTGTTCTTGCCTGGTGAATCCCATGGACAGAGGAGCCTGGTGGGCTACAGTCCATGGGGTCTCAAAGAATCAGACATGACTGACTAAACAACAACCACAAATCACAGGACACAGAAGTTAGAAAATAGCACAGGGGTCACCTTGCCCAGGGCTTCCCTGGTGGCTCAGATGGTAAAGCGTCTGCCCGCAATGTGGGAGACCTGGGTTTGATCCCTGGGTTGGGAAGATCCCCTGGAGAAGGGAATGGCAACCCACTCCAGTATTCTTGCCTGGAGAATCCCATGGACAGAGGAGCCTGGTGGGCTACAGTCCATGGGGTCACAAAGAGTCAGACACGACTGATCAACTTCACTTTATTTCTTTTCTTTCACCTTGCCCAATCTCCGTCTTTTTACACCTTGCACCCCCCACTTCTCATGGAAAGGAAAGAAATGCAGAATGAAGGGATGGACTACCCACTGAGGCTGAATTTTCACTCCTTTTCTGTCCCTGCCAGTCACTCTTCCCAATTCTGCGCTGGTAGGCACAAGTCGCTGTAACAGTCCTTGGCTAATTGTAGGGACAATTAGCATTTGTTATTTGCTTAAATGAGCCGAGCGGGTAATTGTTTCTGGCCGGAGCCGCTGGGAACACAAAGAGTCATCTGCGGTCCTAATTTCTGGGTGGAATCTGCTCGTGGAGCACTGTTGTCTGCTGCGGGCTCGGAGAGTTGTTCTTAGAATCCAAATGTCCTGACCAGCTACCCAGATCATCCAGCCACAGCCAGACTTGAGATTCACCATCCACTCCTCTTTCTGTGTTTGCTTTTTAAACATTTCTTTTTATTATTTATTTACTTTGGCTGTGCTGGGTCTTTGCTGCTGAACGCGGGCTTCTCTCCAGCTGCGGAAAGCAGCTTCTTGTGGCCTGAGGGCTTCTCGTTGCATTGGCTTTTCTTGTTACAGAGCACGGGCTCTGGGGCGCGTGGGCTCCGTAGTTGTGACCCCTGGGCTCCAAAGTGCTGGCTTGGTGTTTGTGGCGCGCCAACTTTAGGAGTTGTGGCATGTGGACTCTGTAGTTTTGGCTCCAGGGCTCCAGAGCACAGGCTCAGTAGTCACGGGGCACTGGCTTATTTGCTTTGCAGCCCATGGGATCTTCCCGGACTAGGAATCGAACCCAAGTCCCCCTGCGTTCCAAGGTGGATTCTTAACCACTGGGCCACCAGGGAAGCCCTCTTTTTCCCTTTAGGGGATGACAACATGCTCCTACAGGTTACTAGTTCTCTGGGGAGGGGGAGAAGGGGTCCAAGCTGCCCTGTCCACAGTGCCCACTGCCACGCCCTGGTCTCTGGAGAGGGAGGGTTTGCTGGGTACACACATCCGGCCCCCCACCAAGCTCTCCCCATCTCCCGGCATCTGGCAATGCAGACAGCTCCCAGTGGACAGCACCCATTGGTGCTCAGATGGACAGGCTCTCTGGTCTTCATTGTCAGGCCTGTTCTCAAAGCAGCACATCACAGAGTGAGAGTTCAGAGGTGTTCTGGCTTTTTGGCATTCAGATTAAAGCAGTTTGAATGGCATTTTCTTCCAGCCTCTCCTGATGTCCTGACACTCACAGGACTGAAACACTGTTCTCGGGTCTCCCTGCCGGGTCTGAAGAGGCTGTGAATGTAACAGACCATCCTGAGGAAGTCTTTTTTTTTTTTTCTTTCTTCTTTCTTTTGGAGTCTGGTTGAAAACACCCCAACACTGAAAAAGATTGAAGGCAGGAGGAGAAGGGGATGGCAGAAGATGAGATGGTTGGATGGTATCATTGACTCAGTGGACACGAGTCTGGGCAAGCTCCAGGAGACGGTGATGGACAGGAAAGCCTGGAGCGCTGTGGTCCATGGGGTCGCGAACAGTCAGACCCGGCTGAGCCACTGAATGACAGCTGTTGCTTTACAATGTTGCGTTAGTTTCTGTTGTATAGCAACGTGAATCAGCTATATGTTTACGTATATCCCTTCTTTTTTGGATTTCCTTCCCATTTGTGAGGAAGTCTTTATTTCAAGCCTGCTGCTATTTCTGGGTAAAGTTTGGTTAAAGTTATACACCTTGTATTGCTTTACTTTGAAGGATTTGAAGGGTTCCAAACTTGCCACTCCCAAGTATGCCTGTTTGGATTATGGATTATTTCAAGTTAAAGGCAATGGGAGAACAAGCAGACACAGGAAAAACTCTTCACCTTCCCCTAAGAGGTGAGAGAGAGGGGAGAGAGGGGAGAGGAAATGGACATTTAGAAGGAAATTTCCACTAGCAAGCATACCTGGAAGAGATCTACTTGCAGAGAGAACATGTCCACGTGAGCCTGTTATCAGCACCTGATCAGTATTTACATCCATGTCCTCTCCTCACCTGCCTCCTAATTGGGTCTCCTTCCCCCCGACCCCAAGTCCCAATGCTGCCTTCTCTGTCTCTTTCCTCAGCTTGGGAAGCTATATAAGTCTCAGTCATCTGAGAATCACCCCGAATCTCATATTTTATGTCTCATATTTTAGACACATATTTAAAGTCATTTATTTTCTCCTGTTCATCTGTCTTACATCAATTTTAATTCTTTGATTAACCACAGAACCTCGGAGGATAGAAGTGAAGTGAAGTTGCTCAGTCATGTCTGACTCTTTACAGCCACGTGGACTATAACCCACCAGGCTCCTCTGTCTAGGGATTCTCCAGGCAAGAGTACTGGAGTGGGTTGCCATTCCCTTCTCCAGGGGATCTTCCCAACCCAGGGATCGAACCTGGGTCTCCCGCATTGCAGGCAGACGCTTTACCCTCTGAGCCACCGGGGGAGCCCAAAGAATAGAAGGGACCTTTTCCTCACTACAGTCCTGAGGAAGTTGAAAACACTAGATCTTTATTAAGTAGTTGAATTATTCGATTATGCCAGAAATATAGAAAAGACTTGTTATGAATAATTTCGAGCAACTGAATTACTGCTTTTTTTAAACCTTGTCTGTAAGATGATTGAATTGGGCATGTCTGTGTATATAAAGGGAGTTTTACTGTGCAGAGAATGGCCTCAGTTGCCTGTGTATCCAAACCTGCCCCCATGATGTCATCTGGCCCTCTCTTCTCTCCTGTGTGTGACCTGAATGTCATGAAGAAGCCAGAAACGGTGGCTCACTGCAGGACAAGGGTGTCATTTGTTCTTCAATTCTGTGAACCTTTTCTTCTAGCATACTTATCTCCTAGAAATAATGGAAATAAGAGAAAAGGAGAACACACTTTTGGGAACACCTGCTTACACTGAGTGCATCATCTCTGTGTCTTCTTCAACTCTCAAAGAGCCTGATAAAAGACACATTCACACACTGACTATGGGAAGCCATTCTGGTTTATCCATGAGTTAAATTTTATGCTAACTACAGCAGCCTGTCTTTGGCTTCTCAAACATACATTGCGCATCTACTTTATTAAAGAAAAGGGCGCATTGACCAGAAGTAAAGAATGTGTGCTCGATCGCTCAATCATGTCCAACTCTTTGTGGACCCATGGACTGTAGCCCGCCAGACTCCTCTGTCCATGGAATTTTCCAGGCAAGAACACTGGAGAGGGTTGTCATTTACTCCTCCAGGAGATCTTCTTGACCCAGGGATCAAACTCATGTCTCATGTGTCTCCTGCATTGGCAGGCAGGTTCTTTACCACTAGTACCAGCTGGGAAGCTCCAGAAGTAAAG